TTGTTGGATTTTTTTTTTTTTTATAATAGTTGTTTTTATTTTCCTCTCTTTTTCATTATACGAGCTGTTTGAGGCGGTTCTCGTAGTCCTCAGCTGCACCTTCCGGAGACTTCTTGTCGTTTATGGCGAAGATGTTGTTAGGGGGAATGCGTACCTTTAAAATGAGAGACTCAGAGACACGAAATCGTATCAGACTAAATGGACTAAAAAAATATAATAATAATAATAATAATAAATAAATAAATATGAGAGACACGATTTGGTTGATTAATAAAGGGACAATTACAAAGACCATCCGTAAGGTTATGGAATAACATAATGAAAATAAAAAAGGTTTCGATTTGATGATTTCAAAAGGACCATGACACATTTCAGCTCAACAGTTAGTAGACTTTATAGGAATTTGGTTACATTATCGTGCTTTACGAAGACGAGTCTTGGTTTTTCAGATTATTGCAGGAAAGACCAGAAAAGTCTCTTTTTTTCATTACTGTTCGTAATATTTGCATACGTAGACGTAAATTCAATCGTATGAATAAAAACTTAGGGATGTAACTGCAAGAATTCTGATGGCATACTCAATTCCATCAGGTGCACAAACGGTAGGCGGTTTTTGTAATTAGTAATTTATAAATTATCATAATTAGTTGTGTTCAATCCTTCTGTAAAATACTCCACGCCTGGGTGGTATTCTGTACTTGTCTTTTAATAAAAATCAAAACTCGTTTTCTTGCGTTTGAAATCACTCATGCTAACCTGCCTAATATATATCAGCATCCGTTCATGACAACTCATTTAAAAACAAACACATCTCGTTCTTCCATTTTAGGGATACTCACAGTGACTACTTATAGATTTTTCACTAATACATACGGAACTCTCTAATGTTTACTGTCCATGTATGTTTTACACTACAACAACAACAACAACAACAACAACAACAACAACAACAACGTAGCCTTTTAGTCCCAAGCAAGTTGGGGTAGACTAGAGATGAAACCCAAGAGAACCAATGGTAAGAGAAACACAAAAAAGGGCTCAAAACAAAAGGAAGAGTTGGGCAAATTATCCATCAACTAGAAACAAATTCGCAAAGCAAAATTAAACACATAACAGGTCTTTCTCTTTTATGTAATCAGAGTAAAACAAACACACGGTTACTCAATTATCCACAGCAATTGTGCCTGAAGACGACAAAACTTGTATTTCTTGGGGGATTAATAAACCAATCTGAAACTATTACTATAAAGATTCAAACTTTTCATCTTACCTTGGAAAGAAAACCACTCGAGGCTAGCAAGTAATTGTTGTCTTCATGATCCAGAAGAACAACTCTCTCATCAACCCAAAATATCAGCCATTTCGACCATTCCATAGATTCCTTGTATGGAGACTCTACAAGCTTCCTACGGCATTAAAAAAAACAACAACAACAACATTCACATCACAAGAGAAGTAAGATTACAGTCTGATACCTAAAATTCCATGGGGGAAATTAGATACTAAACAAAACAGAACCTCTGCAATTATGTATCACATCTGCTAAAATTATTTATTCAACCCTAAAAATCACAATCAGAAAGCTCAAAAACTCAAAATTGAAATCTGCCCTTTTCCTTTTCCCTATTATTTTTTCACATTGCGCAGTCAAAAGCTACACAGCAGCTACTACTGTCTGAGCTGAAAACCAAAAAATGCGAAAATAACAAAATGGGGTAAATTACCTAAGTGTATCGATTAGGGTTCCGCCGGAGAGGACGACGGAGAACGAGCCCTTTTCTTCGATGAACATTTTAGAAAGATCGGCGGT